ATAGCACTAGACCTGCTTGGGTTTAGTCAGTCTTGCGATTACTGGCAAGGACCTGGGCTGGTCCAATAGGGGGATTCCTGTTCGGGTTTAAACAGTCTCCATTTACGGCACTATTGGCCATTCAGGAGGCTATCCGTGTTAGAACGAACCACAGGTGGCATCTCATGGCTAGCCCACTTCCACGTCGGCACGCGTCCCAAAGATCTGACTTCAACGGGGTCTACTTGGTTGTCGATGAGGATGATACAATGGAGACCAAGGTGTCATGGTAAAAATACTACTAGTATGGTACAGACCGGACATGCGTCGGTCGTTGGAGGGGCATTACAGCAAAAACGCCAATGAAGGTTCACCATTCACAAGTCAACGGACAAGGTATCCTAGTGGGGATCACCCGTCACGCTCACTTGGCTGTATTCTCCACGGTATGGGAGCTTTCCAGCCATGTGCCAAACTCGTCCAGACGTTGATCCTCTTCGTCCTCCGCATCCAGACCTTTCTCGGCCAGATCTTCCAACGCTGCCCGTCGCTCATTGGTCTTCTTGAATTTCTCGCTGCCATCGGAAATGTACGCTTCAACGCGGGTACCGCCAAACCAACGGCCGTCCATGACCTAGGGATAAGCACTGGGATTTAGATACAGTCAAATCGTCGGGGGATTGAACAGAAAAAAAAACACATACCTGGACGCACCGCTTCGCCGAGTCAGCATCCTGGAAGCGGGCGATGGCAACACCGGCCGGTTCCTTATCGTAGAGAACGACGTTGGTCACTTCGCCCAATTTCGAGCACTCCTCGCGAATATCCTCTTTGATGTCGAGGATAGCCGCCGGGTCCTCCTACCAATACTGTCAGCTCCTCTAGTCACATTCCGTAGTAGATTTCAGAGGGAATGGCACACCTCTAGTTCCTCCAAAGTAAACATATGCTTCAAGACGACAATCTTTTGGAACTTGGAGTTTGTCTCCGGTAGGGCGGACGGGTCATCGTCATCCCAATCGGCGAGTTTGCTATTCCCTGCGCATCAGCACACTGCGTGGGTCGGGGTTCAAACTGGGAGGGACGTACTTATTGAGCCTTTGGGTCCGCTGGATAATCTTTCGCCGGTCCTTCATGCTGGCCTTGGGTGGCGCATCTTGTTGGCTCTTGAAGGAGAAATCCGCAACTTGGACTTTCATGGGGCCCTGAGGCCCTGGGACTCCTAGCCGGAAATTCGTATCATCCAGCATCTGTATCGCGAGATTGACAGACTCCGGTCGGAAATACACGACGAGAGCCTCGCCCTTGAAGTTGCCCTGGTCATCCACATACATCTTGATTCTTGGACGCCCGCTGTCGATTTCTTCCGCGATGACGCCGCACTTGGAAAAGACATCGCGAAGCTCCTCGAGCTCCGTATCTAACGGGATCGAAGTCACATAGACGGCGGTATTGACGCGCTGTTTCTTCTGCTTCTGCTCAGGGCCCTGTAAATTCCGATTCCCATTAGCTCCTGTAGCTCACTCCCCCCCGGGTCGCGAGCCCCCGGTAACAGCGAGGATTGTTTTACTCACATCATCGGAGCCCGCCTGCTGCTTCCGTTTGTTCCGAAGTTGCGCAGGCGTGATCTGCTCGTCCTCGTCTACCCCATGGACTTTGTATGCTTCTTGCTGTTTCTGAAGCAAGTCATCATCGACCTGAGGGACATCCACGGGCGCACAAGCCGCGCCAACCGAGAAATCAGTTTCACGAACCAACCAATATCCACGCACTCACGGGATTCCCCAGTATCCTTCTCGACAAAGAACAAGACTCATGGTTCGCATATCACCAGTATCATAGACACCATATGGGGATGAAAAAGCAGGAAAGGGGTTCAAGGGAGAGAGGGGTAAAAAAAACGAGTATTCAACGGCCAGGAAACGCAACAGGGACCATCCGGCTGGAGAGAAGGCGCGCACACACCGTCGGAATCCATCGTTTCAACACCGTATCGTATTCAAATTCCCGGCCGTCGTCCGTCTCGAGGATGAATTTGTCGTCTAGTTTTGAGAAGGAGATTCGGGGATCGCTGTCGAATTCGGAGGGTTCTTGGGGGAAGTTCGACGCGGGGGGCGGGGCGCCGCCCTCCGGCCTTGGGGACGCCATAAGTGTTGACTGTGGGTAAGCAAGGACAAAGATAGACCTGGTTGAAGGATCGCGTAGTTATGGGAATATTTGTTGAGTAGGAGTAGGCGAGAACTTGGGTGGAAGAAAGAAACGGGATGAGATGGAGAGCTGCGGGTTGAAGATGCGGGAGACGCTAGGACTGTGAGCGGCGGAAGGGAGCTCCAGCGCAGCCTGTCATTGGCCGGGTCATTGCTTTGCGTCACGCCCTCCTCCCTATAGTCATGCTATACCCGCAGTGCCTACGTAGGGTCTATCGATCAACTTCGAGTGTGGTCTTTGTAAATAGTAGGTAAGGTATCTTCAATGGTCATTAGGGCTATTTACAGCACCATATTATTAACACATGATCCTTGAATAGAGAACAATTCATGGAGTAGCACATTCTATGGCATGTCGAGGGAGGTGACCCCCCGGGTGTCTGGAAGAGAAAACATATCATAAGACACTCAAGTATATGCGTAAACCAATATTATAAAGGTGATGATCAGATACTTTTCTGCGCAGCAGATGTTATAAAGCTCGCGGACACAAATTAATGAAACGGACATTGGCCTGTTCGCGTCTTCTTCAATCCTTCCACGGCGTCATCCAGCGCCTGTCGACCCTTGCCTTCAAAGTACTTCGGTCCTACATCAGGGACATAGTAGCCTTGCGGGTAGAATTTGCTACCGTCATCGCCAGGCAGAGGTCGACCAAGTGCCCAGGTGTACCAGGCATTTGGCCCCCAGCGGTTCCAGAAGGTCGGCTTGACGTAGTAAGGGGCGCCGTCCCATTGCGTGAGGAAGTTCCGGTCATTCTCATCCGGATCCTCGGTGAAAGGGCTGCTTCGCATGCAGTAGGGTCGCGGCAGTGCGAGATAGCGCAGCGCAAATCGGCGAATAGATAGAAGCGAGGAAAATACCTTGGTATAAGAGGCTCCCGGGGCGTCGTACCTGTTTCGTGTTAGATCGGGGCTTTTTTTGATCAATGCTTCTTCTTCAAAACTTACATCATCGCCTTTCGAAGACGGTCATCCATCATGAAGGACACGAATTTCAGCCCAAGAGGATGCAGAGGCCGAGGGACCAAGTACAGAAGAACTGCGGTGGTCTGATCGGCAGTCTCCCGATTGCTGACGGCTGGAACCATGCAGCGGACTTCATAATCGTCACTCCAGGCCGCGATCTCTTCGAGCCACTGTAGCCCATCCCGGAAACCCGTCTTCCCCGAGGGGAGAGCGTCGTAGCTGACTTCCAGACCGTCACCGACGCTTTTCCAGAACGTGCCGATAGCGCATTTTTCGACATCCGTCAGCTGTCTCCATTCGTACTTGTTGATAAATCGCACCGGCTGGACCGCGAAGAGACCCAGTGTGTACAACATATCATCTTCCAGAATTTTGCCAGAGGCACGATAGCTGCTGTGAACCCAGCGGGTGCGCGCGATGGATACCAGCGCACGACTCGAGGCGGGGGAGTGGCCCGCGAATTCCTGGATCAACACGCCGGTGTCGCTGTACCGCTTCAAGGAAGTCTCTGGTTTTGAGAACTGGCTCGTCTTCGTGAGAAGACCAGAGATTGTGGGTATCCCATATGTCTGAGCAGAACAATGGTTAGCGCGCTTCTTCGCACCGCATGCAAGGGAGACCACGCGAGAGGGCGTGGGAACTGACCCGAAAAAGAGCAAATTGAAGGGCTTTGGCGAACATAAAGGGAAACTCGGTTTGCAGCAACACCTTCTGAATCTCAAAGGCATCGTCGTCTGTCATGCGGGCGAAGGATTCCCGGGTTGGATAGTTGTATTTTTTATGCACCTTTCGCATGCGGCGGAATCGCAGCAAGGACACTAGGGCAGGGTACGCCGACACAACTGCCAGTGCACAGGCGACCAGATCGCGGGAGGGAGTTTTCTCGAGGAGGACCCTGAGGTCCATAGGAATGGAACCTTTCATGATGACTGAAATTGTACGGTCCTATTGCTTGCGTGGGATATAATGTGCCTGACTAGATAGAGAGGCAAGAGGGAGTGATTCCCGTTTATTCGGATGACAACTGGCAAGCAACGTGGATGAATGCCAAGGCCTGCTATGATATGCAATAACAAACAAACTCACGTCAGACAGTCAGGGAGGGCGACAAATGGAAGTTTCAAAGTAATCAAATTGGTCTATGCAGGCTTTATGTGGGAGGAAAAATAAAAGCTAGTTGTCAAGGGGAAGAAGGGGCGTTAGTGGCGTAGCTGATACTCTCTAGATTTGAAGGCCAAGTAATCCATGATTCCCCGCACCTTCTCGCTCTCCATCTCCATCTCTTCTCCCCTCACCGCGATTCTCGGTCCGAACCTCACTTGGCTGATCTCCCCACTGCTTGTTTTCTGGTCTACTCTATCCAGACACGCAAACACCTACCCCTGTCCATCTTATATGTATTGAACTGGTAGAATCCAACGCACCCATGCAATCCACCCAGCGAACAATACTCAACATTTGCTAGATTGAAGTGACTCGAGCGCTCGTGAAGATGGATAACCTACTAACCGCTTACGGTTGAAGGATTTAGTACTTGCTGACGGTGCGCGCCGATCCTGTCAAACCAGACCCTCTTCTCCCATAATCCCGAGGCTTTTTTAAGTTCTGACAAGTCATGACACGAGATGTGTGGGCTCAAGTCTAGACATGATAATCGCAGGCCCATGCCGCCAACATCGCGTGGTTGATACCCATAAGCTTCGACCAGCAACGAAGAAAGAGGAGGCGACAACGAAGGCACGCATTAATATCTTGTTTCTGGATCGGCTCCAACATATATTACAGAATTGAGTATATCTCATAAAACGTACATACAAAACATTTATATTCGAACATTCCGACTCCACGACGGTGGAGGCTTCCAAATTAGCGAGCGAGCTAAAACGCCGATGGCATGATGCGAGTTACTCAATGCAAGCCAATGCAAGCCATGGCGTTTCTTAGCCCCTATCTTAGGCCCTATCTCAGATACGGCTCAGCGACCGATAATTTTCATTTCTAGCAGTCTGAGCGGCGGAAACGCAATACCCGTGAAGCCAATCCCAAGCCAGATTCCTAAATCACATCCCCCGGTAACCGCGCTTGCAATTGGACCGGTATAGTACACTTGATCCTGTTGTCGACATATCAGTGACCCGCCATTTCATGTCACATATCGGATCAGGGGACATACCATTCCAACGATCGCCCCCGCCCAGCCGATGAGAAAGGCTAGAGAGGCCGCGAAGCCCGACGGCAACCTCTTTCGGTCATTCCACGCAGACCAATCGTATCCTGTGCCGCGGTTGAACAACAGGTCCTGTTCCAGAACGATCGTGAACCAGATAATGGTCCAGTAGCAGATTAGCGGCAGGAAGTTACTGAAAACCTCATAGAGCGAATCTCGACCACCGATGGCACACGCGGTATAGATTACCGTGCTGAGACTCGTGAACACAGGGCGGGGAACCTTCAACCACACGTCGCCCAGCATCTGAAAATTCATCGACATGGAGTAGGAGCCGGGAGCGTTGTTGGATACCACGCTCAGAGTGTTGATAAAAGCGCAGAATTTGCCAAAGGCACCGAGTCGGTCATAGCCAAACATTAACAAACTCCCTGCTGTGCCGTCATAGATGGTAGACCACTTCTGAGTGTGTGCCACGCCAGACCCGAGGCCGATACCCAGTAGGTGAGTGAAAGTCATGGCTAGGAATGCCCCAACGGTAGTGACCATCCATGTTGTCCATCTCCCGAGGGTCGGCGGGTAGTTTACAAAATAGTCCGCAGCCACTGGCAACCATGAAAGACTGGATGACAAACACAGGGATACAAAAGCTAGGCGATTCCCGTTGATCTTCTGCGGTGTCCCAGTTGATGAGGTAGCAAAGTCGAACCGGGGTCCGGCTGAGCCGAGGATAATGCAGAGAGTGATTAATTGCGCGATCCACGCGTATCTGGAACCCCAGGCAGTGGATGAGCATGAGTTCACAATTGTCACAAACTCGGGGAAAATAATACTCACCGTTCATAGAGCTGGAAAATACGCATGCCAAATGTGGCCAAGAGCCAGCTCGCCACGGCAACGATCACTATCCCAACAACAACCGAAACCTTTCCATCTGATAGTTTGGAGAGGATTTGGCCTCCCACCATTGAACTCATCATCCCATAGCCCAGATTGGTCAGCACATTCAGCAAACAACAGACCTTAGCGGGGTAATATCCCATAAAGTATCGGGCCACGATCTATCGAAAGACAAATGAGCCGTAAGTTTTTTGCCTGCGAAATGTAGCCAAGTGACAAGGTGGCCGAGTGTAAGGGAACAGATCAAACACAAGGTAAAGAACGCAACAGGTGGATCATACAAGTGTTCGATTTCCACTTCTAGGCCCCCAGGTGCTCATATAGCCCACCGCCAGTCCGCCTAGGAGGTTTCCAAAGACCGCACAGAGCGCAGCATCGGTGAAGCTTAGATCCCTTTCAAGCGTTCCTATCGATCCGATGACGATGTTGTTTACCGCCATCCCCATACTAAGCCACATGAGGAATATATGCAGCAGCGCCGTCGAGCTGGGATCTGAGCGTTCCTCAAGTGGCACCGGCTCGATGCCGCGGGTCTCGAGACCCTTGATATTTTCGGCCCATCGCTTATATTTCGAGTTTGGGACTACCTCCACAGGGGCACGGTCTCCCAGATCCTCCGCGGCCACGCTGTGTAAAGACGCCGATCCGTGGTCTTTTTCGATATCTGCTCCCATCCTGACGTGTGTGAGGCTGATAGCCTAAAGAACGAACAGCGAGAGCCGTGCTACCGAATCCGATTGCTGAATATAGAGATCAAGAAAGATATATTCAGACAAAGTCGAAAATTGCGGGGAACAACTGAGTCAGACTAACGGTATATATAGGCGCAAGTAAATCGCTGGAAGGCCGGAGAGGGATCGAGGGGAAATTCCAGGGGAAAAGGCATTGCCGCTACTTCATGGACCTGATTTGACATCACCTTATTGTCCTCAGCGTAGCACCTGCACGACCTTGGTATCGACATTCCACGGCCAATATGCACCAGACCGGACGGAGCCCTACATACGCTCCTCCTGCAACTTAAAGGTACAGAGCCGGATTTCTAACCCAGAGATACATCATCTAATCTGCCCCCTTTTTTGGTGATCACCTTGTAGGATGACGAGCAAGCAGGGTCGTTGCAGGAAAAGAAAAGAAAAGAAAAGAAAAAAGCGCCGTGAAGAAGTACAGGCCGTTGGAAAATTCCCGCGCGATAACACGATCCAGCAGGAATCCAGGAATCCAGTTCCCTCATACACGCTGATACGGGTGACAAAACGATTGTTTCACGCGCCTGGTCACATACCAGTGAGTTGTCCCATATTGGTGATTTAAGCTCTCCCAGCCCCGTTGTCCGGTATGTACCGCCAGCAAGGAGACCACAGCTGACCAAATCCCGGGGAGTTGAATGATTAGACGTCAGGATGAGCTCATTCTGGTCTGCTAGTTGGGAAGAATGGGGAGTTCTAATTTGTAACAGTGGTCAGATCGAAGACCCCCTATTTGGGCGGACAGGAAGTGAGTATATATTGAATGAATATTTATACTTCTTGATCTCACTTCTTAGAGAACAACACGTACCAATCCAGAACAAACAAACAGCCACTTCCACTCCTAGCAAGAACCTTAGGATCCCACCATCAATCACCCTCGGGGTGTACTAAAAGCATACATACATACATACATACATTCCAACTCGCGCCCACCAGAGTGTGATCCCACATTGATCATTCCTGCCGATGATAAACGCACAAGCCTATGGTTCCTAGCTCGCCATTCATTCTCCTGCGGGGCTCATTCTGCATAGATATAATTAGTCAGTCAGTCAGTAGTCATTCTCTGAGGCTGCCTACTTCAGTGTAGGATAGGACTTTCTGCTTCTGCCCCTTCTTTGTCATTTTTTCCTTTCCTTTCCTTTCCTTTCCTTTCCTTTGGTCTCTTCTCTTCTTCCTTTGCTTATATAATATCATTTGGAAAGATAGAGATAGCGACTAGATCGATGTATGAAAGAAAAGAATGAAATGCAATAAACCGAGAAAAAGTCCACACACCACTCCGACCATGTTATCTGTGACCCAACTCTAGTCCCTAGCCCTTTAACTACCGTCGACAACACAATATCACTATACCCAGCAGAGCATGTCTGATACATCCCTACTGCCTATACCTATACCTATACTATAAGTATACCTCCAAGCACAAAATGTACAACCAGCAGGAAATAAATGGAAGTGATGACTGCGTTGTCCCGTGTCACACGCACACATATACAAACAGTTTCTGCCATGTGAAGGAAGGGTAGCGTCGTAGGGTATACATAGTACATTCGGGTATGGAATAGGGTATATGTGTCGACGATATATAGCGTGGAGTGACTGCAACCAGTCGGCTGACTTGCTGCGTTTCCTACACCATTGGACCATTGATATTGAGATGTTTCTTACAATCTTTTGCAACCTTTTCCATAGTGGTGTCATATTTATCATCACTATGACCATTTGATCCGTACTTCCACACATGGTACGTATAATCAACAACCTACCTACCTATTTACTGAGAACAGGAACAGCAGTCCATGACAATTACACGGAGAAAAGAAAAAAGAGCAAAAAAGGAAAGAAGCGCCCACTCAACCACTGTTGCCTGTCCCCAACCCTAACTAATATCTCTTGAATGAATTGACTTATTGTATAGGATTGGGAATAATACTAGATCAAGGGAAGAAAGTGATAATGATAGATATAGACAGTAAAGAAAAGAAGAAAAAAAGAAAACCCCTCTTGCGCCAGGTCCAAACCAAACCCTATGCGAGAGGGGTATGTCTATTAAACAATAAAACAGTAAGGAAAAAAAAAAAAAAAAACCTTCTTTTCGTTTTTCCGACCACGTACGCCCAAGAAAAGGAAAGTATTACTAAGAATAAGAAACACGTATCAACAAGAGAACTAAGATAAGATGATTAGGAGGGCGACGGGGTTTGAAAAGTTAGGGGCATACAAAGTAAGCCCATTAAGGAGGGTTAGAGGGTTAATCATGAACAGAAAGAAAGAGAGAGAAGATAAAATAAACAGAGTAAGATATTAAAAGCAACGTAAAGGGGAACACGGAATTAAGAAGTCTATGGACGAATCTGGGGCTTCATTTGTGGTGGGTTGGAGGAAGAAAAGTGGGCTGGAGGGGAAAAAAGAAAAAGAATAGGGTATCATGTACACAGAAAAGGTATGTATGTATGGAGTCCCAGGCTAAGCCTGGCTATGGCTCTGGCTTGATCGAGATCGTCTGGACGTCGATCGTGCACTTCGGTGAGACGGCGCGCGTGCTGGCGGAGCGTGCTCAAAGAAAGGGAGAAGGTCTGGATTCTGGCTGGGAGGTGTCTTCGACGAAGACAGGTACTCCCCCACGACGTTATCGTCGGCCGCGGTTTCCGGGTGAATCTCGATGCCAGGCTGACTGCCCAGCCCGCCGTGAGGGCTCGTGGTGAAGGTGAACGTATCGCCATTGCTGGGCCCCCGTTCGATCGGCGACCAGCCTGCAATACTTCCGGCCACCACGCCTGCCATGGCGGCGGCGGGTCCGAACGCGGAGTTGGACCGAGACCGAGTCTGCTTGCGTGATCGGGACTCCGGTGTCGAGGGCGGCGGCGTGCCTGCGCTTTCGTTGACTGGGGTTCCTGGGACTGAATTCTCTCGTGACCGAGAGCCACTCCGAGATCTCGGGAGTAGCTCCTGCGGGTGTTGCAGTTTGTGCTTCAGGTGCTTCAGCCGTCCGCCGCGGAGGGTCTTGATGAACTTCAGTTGATCCCGGATCTCCTCCAAGGCGGGGTTCCACTCGTATCGACGGTCTTCGTCCGACACCAGAAGCTGCGGTCCCTTCTCGCGGTGCCAGAAGGTGGGGATGAGCTTTGCAACAAGCTCGTCGGGAATCAATCGGATGATGATTCCAACCGGAAGGGAGAGCACGCCCAGAACCAGAGAAACACCCCATTGAGGACCGTTGAGGGCCGTGACTGAGAACGCCTTTCCACCGACGAAGATGATCAGCACTTGGCCGCCGACGATGATGAACTGAATCCCAATAAACCATCTGTTGCGGAACACCCCTTCAAAGATGTTTAGATTATTATCGATGCGGCGGGAACTAGTCATAGTTAGTTAGTCCTCGTGAGGGAGGAACTAGGGTTTCGTCACGTACTTCCACTGGTTAAAGATCTGCATCCAAACAAAAGTGTTGAACACGACAGTCTTTAGCCATACATCTTTATACCCGGTGATAGACGTTCCAGCAAAGTTCAAAACAAGCGTAACGACCAGCTGAAAGATACTCTGTCCGATGATCATCTTCCACATGGTAAAGGTGATCAGAGGGGCCGACTTCGGTTCCGGTCTGCGATTGAGGATTTCAGGCGAAGGCGGGTCCGTTGCTATTCGGATGGTTAGCTGCCAGGACTAGGGCCTTCGTGTCCATGAGTTCACATACCTAATGCAAGTGCAGCGAAAGTGTCCATGATGAGGTTGACCCACAGCAGTTGGACAGCCGTGAGGACAGATTCCTCGGAATTACTGGCCACCGCAGAGATGAATGTGAGAAGAACGGCGGTGATGTTGACCGTGATTTGGAACTAGACGATTTGATCAGCATCGAGCCAACAGCGCGCGTGCGACATCTTTCTTACCTGCAGGAACTTCTTCACGGCGTCGTTGACGGTTCGACCCCAGGCCATAGCCTTGACAATGGAAGCAAAGTTGTCATCCATTAGGATGATGTCGGAAGCCTCCTTCGCGACTTCAGTGCCCGCAATCCCCATAGAGAATCCCACGTCGGCGGTCTTGAGCGCCTGAGCATCGTTGGTCCCGTCGCCCGTGACTGCCACCGTCTCCCCCAGCTTCTTGAGCTGCGTGACCAGGATCTTCTTGTCATCAGGGCTGGACCGGGCCAAGACTTGAAGGCGCGGGATGATCTGCGTCATTTGGCGGCTACTTAGCTTGCGGAACTTGGGCCCCTCAATGGCAATGCCGCCGGGGGTGAAGATCCCGCACTCCTGGGCGATGGCTTTGGCGGTCATGATGTTGTCGCCGGTGACCATGCGCACGAAAACGCCAGCGCGCTGGCACAATTTGACGGATTCCGTCACGCCTGCCCGGAGAGGATCCTGGATACCAAACACCCCAAACATGACCATATCTTTGAAGATCGCATCGAATACGGCCAGAGAACGGTCGTCCTCCTGCGTGGGGGCGCCGCGAGGGGGCCACTGTTCGAAGTCACGATACACGAGACCGATCGTCCGCAGCGAATTGGACGCGTAGTGGTTGATGATCCCGTCCAAGGCGGACCGGTCGGTATCTGACAACGGTCTCTCCGAGAGGTCCTTGGTGGGATCGCAGATGATGCGCGTTGACTTGGCCGCCAGGATCTCGGACGCACCCTTGACGAGCATGCGGTATTTCCCATTGCTGAGCTTGATCACGCAAGCCATACACTTTCGACCCGAATCGAAGGGGATCATCTGGGCGACCTCCTCGTTGGCGCGAGCCTCCCCGAGCGAACCGAGACCGAGGTAGGTTCGTGCAAAACCCAGCAGGGCAGTTTCGGTCTTGGATCCGACAAACGCCATGGCGCCATCTTGCTCTCCTTCAAATGCGGTAGAGTTGATCACGATCGATTTGAGCAGCAGGTCCTTGGCCGGTCCCGCAAGGCCTCTGGCGAACTCCGACGGAGAGGCCGTGGTTCCCTCGGGCTCGCTTTGTCCATCATCGGCATGGGCGTCCCCGTCCCCATTGGGGGTCGGAGACGCGCCGGGGGACTTGCCTCCGAAGTGAAAGGTCGTGCCTAAGGTCGCCGCGACCGCCGTCATCTTGTTCTCCGTCAGCGTGCCCGTCTTGTCGGAACAGATGGTAGTGGCGTTGCCCATCGTTTCACACGCCCGCAGCAGTCGCACCAGGTTGTTGTCCTTGAGCATTCGCGTGGTTGCGAACGCCAGCGCTAACGTCACCGCCAACGGCAAACCCTCCGGGACCGCCACGACGATGATGGTGACCGCGACAATGAAGATCTGCAGGAACGCCTGACCTTTGTCGTCGGCGGTGGGAATATCTTTCATGGTCGCGAGGAACTTGATAAAGAGTACGACAAACAACAGCAGGCCGGCCGACAGACCGAGTTTCGCGATGTACTCGGCGAGCATGTTCAGCTTGGTCTGGAGAGGAGTGGTCTGGCCCTCGTCTTGGAGGGACATCATGGTCTTCCCGTAGGTCGAGTGCACACCGACGGCGGTCACTAGAAACGTGCCCACACCCTCCGACACTTTAGCACCGGAGACAATGAACGGATCGTGCTTCCCGAGGCCCTCGTGGCGATCGATGATGCGGTAGACTTCTCCGCCCGCGGTCTTGCGTAGGACGTCCGACTCTCCCGTGGCCGACGACTCGTCGCATTTGACATTGTGGCCTTCGATGAAGATACCATCCACGGGGACGAGGTCACCGGGCTCGAGGTGCATGACGTCGCCGACCAAGACGTCCTGGATGGAGATCTCGGCGGTCTTCCCGGAGCGGACCACCTTCACCGTCCGGTCCTCTTTCTTCTTGTTCAGTTTCACAAACTGGCGCTCCTTCTGCCAGTCGTTGGCGGCACCCACGATCACCACGATGACGATGGCCACGATGATGGCCACGCCCTCCACCCATTGCACCCGCGCCTCTCCGTCCTTGGCCGTGACCGATTGGTAGATTCCCAGGGCGAGCGAGATGATGGCTGCAATCGTCAACAGGATGAGGACCTTGTCGTTGTACGCGATCCATGCCAACTCGAAGATGGATTTGGATTTCTTCTCGGGCAGCTTGTTTTCACCGTAGATGCGACGTCGATCGGTAAAGGCGTTCTCGGCGTGTTTCGCGGGAGTCGTATCGGATCGGGTCGGGGGCTGCGGCGGATCCGACTTGGGCTGCGAATTGGGCCCGGGGGCCTGAGAGAGCGCGTCGTCAAAGCTGACCGTCCCGTCCAACCCCGTTTCATCCCAGCTCAGGCCACTGCGAAGGCTGGTGCGGAGTCCCTTCTCGAGTCCGCGGACGCCTCCCAGCGCGTGGAAGGCGCTGAAGTTCTTGGGGTTCAGGAGCTTGTTCAGCTGGCCGGGCGAGAAGGCAAATCGGTTGTCCTCGACCTCGAACTCGGCTTCTCGGCCCGGGTCCGGGGTGAGGGCTTCTTCATCACTGACCAACGCATCCTTCCCCAGGTCTGCGTGCGATCCTTGCGAAGGGGGGTTGACGTAGGTGTCGCCGCCGTAGGAGCTCGAAGATGGGGTGGTGCCGTCGGACTCTAACGAATTGCCCCGCGATCTCGCGCCGGGGACGGCCAGGTAGTTGGAATTGGTGGTGGGCTCGTTCATCTTCGACGTGGGGGAGGAGACGTTGTGCGGGGAGGTCGGTCTGCTTTCGTGGTCGCGCGGCTCCGACGAAGTGAAGGAGCGGATGGAGGCCTGCGAACGGCCGTCCGAGGGCGAAACACTCCCGCCGTTTAGCAGCGCACTCGTATCATTCGCGTCGGCACTGTCGGAGGTCTGCAAAGATGGGCGGGAGACGACTTGGGGCGGGTGCTCATTCTGATCAGAGGTGGTCACGGCGGAGGTGTCGATGGTGATCGTTGGGGCCCGTTCCCGTCGGAGAGGAGTGGTGGGAGTGGTCGGGTGCACGGAATTCGTCCCATCGGATCTGGAATCCGACATGATCGCCCAAGGGATAGAATGGCCCCGG